TGTCCCTGGACCAGCCTGATTTTTTCCAAAGAAAGGAGCACCCAGGTGTTGGGCAGTCAGACTCCAAAACACGAAAACATACAAGAAATACTAAGACTGGCTTTCCTTTCCTTTCTTTTTGAATCCAGACAGTCTTTGGTCGAAATACCTTCCTTCTGATAGCTGGCCTTCCATGTTTTAGGCTTTGGGTTCAATTCCTAGCACCACAAGAGAATAAAAGAGTTGACAGATCCCATTAAAACTCTCTGACCCAACCAGGACAGGGAGGAACTCAGAAATCGTAGGCCGATAGCTTTTCTTAAGGCCACATGAATTTACCCAGAACCCACGAAGCAACAACTGCAGAAGCTGCCAGAACCCTGAGATCTGAGACATAGCCCCCCCCACCCCCACCCCCACCCCTGGGCCCAAAGCCAGAAATCCCCAGACAAGAGTCACCCACCTCTGTGTGTGTGTGTTACCAAAGAAAACATGTTTCTTGTAAATCCAAGGTATTTTTAGGTCCCAAACTGTGAGACCCATTTCAGAGGCCACATCTCCTTATAAAAACTGAACTGAACCAAAAACCAGACAGAACCACCCAGGACACACGGACCTATGGGCATTAGACCCAGCACACCTCCGGAAGAAGCACAGAAGCCAGGAAGGGCTCATTTAGGACAGTAAGCACTAGCCATCCCAGATCCACTCCTGTAAGGTTGCTTATCAAAGCCTGTCCAAATTTGGGAAGTAACCAGTAACCCTCAGCCAGCAGCCACGGCTTCTCTGGATCCATAGCAAGGTCTGGAATGTTGCCACTGGCGCTTTGAAAACGGGCTGAGTCTGTGAGAGAGGAGAGTGTGTGTGTGTGTGTGTGTGTGTGTGTGTGTGTGTGTATGTGTGCGCACGCAAATGGATCCGATTCTCACCACCACCCAGAGATTGGGATTCCTGATCTTGGTTGTTGGTAACTATGGCTGGGGTGGGGAAGAAACCAAAGATCCAGGCAGGGGCCAGGTCCTATTTTCCATTGCTGTGCAGACACTTGGCCTCAGCTCACCCGCTCTGCAACCTGCCAGCTCCAGTACAAGCAGGGCAGTGTCACTCCAGCCCAGGCGCCCTGTGGGAAGCCATTTTCTGCCACAGTTCAGCCCAACATCCAAGTCAAACAAATTCTGGGAAGCAGCAGTCTGGGTGGGGAGGGGCTCCTGTCCCAGCCACCTACCCCTCCGTAGCTTGCCCCAACTCGAACCAAGATGTCTTGGAATTCTCCAGAGCCTCTGCAGCTTCATTTTCAGGCGCCAGTGTCCCTTCCTCCCCGATGTGTAGCAACACACAAAATGGAGTCAGCGGTTTTCTTAGGAGAACGAGGCTGGCTTGGATGGCAGGGAGGTGTGGAAAACAGGTAAGGCCTCAGTGTGTGGGAGTGTGGGCTAATCTATGCTTTAAACATCCACACTTAGCCAGGAACTGCTCCCACCCTCTCCATGGCCTCAAACCACTTTCTGCTAGTGAAGTACAATAGCTGTAGGTGGAAGCTGACCTGCACCTACTGCCAGGCCTTAAACATACTCTGTTCACCCAGGGGATGGGTGGAGATGCAGAATCCACGGCCCGTGCTTTGATCACAAAAGGCCAAGGCCATGGAGCACTTACATCAGAGACTGAAGACAAGGAGACCCTACCTAGAGAGGGAGGGAAGGTGAAAGGAACAGGGAAGATCCGAGAAACAGGTCTGTCCTCACAGGTCAAAGTCATCCTGAGGGAACCAGCCTTAGTGTCCATCACAGATTTCCTGACTCCCACCGAGGCTGCACAGCAAGTCTTACTACCAGAGGTGAGGCGTGGTGGTGGTGCATGTGGTGGCAGGGGGCTGCTCTACAGGCTGAACTTGCATGGCCCTTTGACATCATTTGCAACAACTCATGGATTCTGTGATGAGGAGACTTCGGTTTGGATCAGACAAGTGAGCTCGAAAGGGATGTGCACTCAGCCAGGCTCTGAGCTCAGCTCCAGGGCTCTACCTAGATCTCCAAGCAGACTCCGAGGGTAAGGCCATCTCTGGAGAGAGAGGCCAGAGGTCAAGGCCATCTCTATAGCCCCTCTGCCGTTTCCATCCTTCAGGATGGGGAAGGGGTAGAAACAGTGTTTAGAGGGGCGGTGGACAGGATCTGGCTCTCTCACTAGAACCCATCTGTCCTTTCCTTTGCCTAGGCTAAGAGAGTCCTCACTATGCAGGATCTGGGGCTGGGGGGTGGGTGGGTAGGTAGGAAGGGGACCAATCAGATAAAGGCAACAGGATCAAGGCTAGTCTGGCTTCATAGCAAGGCTCAAAACAAAAAAGTAATGGAAAAAGGCACATTCCTGGCTTGGCTCAAGGCTGGCCGCTACACCACAGCCTGAAATAGTTCTACCCCCATCATTCACACATTAGATATTGGAAAGGTGTTTTCCTTCTCAATTTTTTTCTTTTCTTTCTTTTTTGGAGGGAGTGAAAGAATAAGCATGGAAGTCTGAGGGAAATTCAGGCTTAGGGGATCTGACTCTAGGATATTGGAAAATCAGACTGATTGCTGCCTTGGTTGTGGGCACGAGACATCCAACTTCGGAAAGGCAGGCCAGTCAGGCTTAGCTGTGGCGGAGCAACACACAGAGGACACACTCAGGCCTAGGAGAGACATACTTCCCCTTTCCGGTCCTCCCTCTCCTCTGCTGGCCCACCACAACTGAGTAAGGCTGGCTTCTCTTTGCATTCCTGCCGCCCATCCCCTCAGTATCTTCTGTCCACAAAGGTGGCCCCTGCTTTTCAAAACCCCTGTCCGGTTCCAAATGTCAAGTTCATAAATCAAGGGTCTCAAGAGAGACGAAGAGGTGACATCATAATCATCCCAGCAGTCCCCTGAGATCACCGCCTGTCACGAAGGATATTCTGAAGAGTTTCACCTCACCCTTCTCCCACCCAACAGCCAAACCCAGTTGGCTACCTCACTTGACAACATCCTGTCACTTGACCCTGGGTGTGTCACTTAACCTTTCGTGGACAAGATTTCCCAGGCTGGAACAGGTAACAATAATTAACTTAGGAAACTGCCCACCTCCCTAATGGTAAGAGACAGAAGAGGAAAAGAAAGAAAACAAGGGTCCAGGGGCTATAGCAGAACACTAGCTCAGCTTTGTGATCTTGGGTGCTCGCTTTCCTCACTGCGGACAGGAGGGCTGGCATCTACTGTTGGTGTATGATCTCCAAAGCCGTTCCCAACCCCCAAACCAAAACCCTTTCCAGAGACTGTTCTGCTTCAAGGAGGTGCAGTTAGCCAGCAGTGTCTAGCTCAGGCAGGGAGCTCTGGAAAGAAGCGGAGAGGAGTTGGACAGATTGCAGGCCAGCAGGCAGCAGACTGGGTTGACGTAGGGTGGTCATGGGCAGCTCCCCTCCACCCCTTGCATATGCCATGGGGGCAGATGGGGAACCGGGCGGGCTGTGGCACTACGTAGCTCTCCCGGCACCAAACCCGTCACACCATCTATGCAGACATCTTGGGGACTAACCAACAGACTGGCTGGGAAAAGGAGGCTGCTGGGTAGGGCGAGGAGAACTCCCCAAAGGACAGGGAGGGGTTGGGTGGGGCCCAGCTGCCTTCAGACTTTGTTTTGTGCTGCTCAAGCTGATGAGTGGGCCAAGCCAAGCCCGGGGGCTGGGAGCCGGGAGCCGGCTGTCTGTCTGCAGAGCTGGGGAAACTCGAGCAGGGAATGCCCCTCGGATATCCTCCTCGTAAGTTGTGCGGGTGTGGTGACTCCTAGAAACCCAGGGCAGTCTCTGCAGGTTGTGCAACACTTTCAAGCAAACCCAGGGAGTAAAACTTACTGAAGGACAATGCTGAGCACCCCAGCGGCGGGCTCCAAGAGACTAGTGTACTTTTCTGTTGTTGTTGTTGAAAGCCTCTGGGGGCACATAACTTGTTTCTACTGTCATCCCTCTTGAGGGCGGCACAGGAGCTGGCTAGTTAAACCCTTTCCCGCTTGCCTGGGAGCAAACGCTGTCCATTTGCTTGTGTGTGGGGTGTGCGCCCTCTCAGAACTAGGGTAAAAGGGTCTTTCTTGTATTTCCTTGTTTTTGTCCCTTAGTTCTCGGAGAGTAGACCCTGTTGCTTTTCCCAGAGGTCCACCTGCAGAGAGGTAGGGGGAGTACAAACACCTGCCTCTGGATCCTCTCCAGGTGAACCTGGAGGGGCCACGGTGGCCCCTCCAGGCCATTTCTAGGAGGGCGAGGCTTCGAGCCCGCAGCACCTGATAACCCGGGAAAGGCTGAAACACCGACCGGTCTTATACCATCTAGAGTCGCTGAAAGGCACCTACCCCTCCTTCCTCTCCCTAACTCTCCCAAGAGTTCTTTCCTGCCAAGATAGTTATCGCTCTTGAAAAGAATCAAGACAATCTAGTCTTTCAGGTAGCTTGGACCGAGGCATGGACGTTTTCAGTTGAGAGAGTCCAGAACGTGAACAGGGAAGGTCCGTCCCCCGGGTGCAGGGAGCACTCCCTCCACCCACTTCCACATCCTCGTGGCGCCCCGCTGCCACTTGTGGGACCACCGAGGTGGGACACAGTCAACTGCCCTGCTCCTGCCCTGCTCGTCAGGAGCCTCGCGGGCCAGGGAGGGCCTCGAGTTACTCGCAAAGGGGTGCTCCGCTGCTCCCTGCCGCCTTCCCGTCTCATACTTCGGGGTGCTCCGGGTGGGAGCAGGCACAGATTCCACCTCAAATCCTCGACGGGCGGCAGAGGGATTCGGGAGTGGAATGCACAGCCCGGGCCGCCAGGACCCCCGCGTCTCCCGCCCACCTGCCCGTCCCGCCCGCGGCCAGCTGGCAGCGGTTGCGCCTTTCTCTTCTCGCCCGGAGTCCGCCTGGCGCGCACGGTACCAGCAGCTCCCCGCGCTCCCGGCCTCCGGGACACCCATGGGAGCCCCGTCCCGAGCCTGAGAACAGGTGGCCTCGGAGAGGAGCGCGCGACCGTCGCCTCTCACTCACCCAGAAGATGAAGTTAAATCCGAAGAGCAGGTATTTGATGCACTTGCTACCCCCTTTGACCGGCATGATGCAAGCTGGACTTGCGTGGGACAAGAGGCACGCGCGACTGGGACAGAAGGGACCGGCAACCGACTGAGACTCGCGGCGGCTAGGGGCTGGCCTGAGGCTCCACTTTTAAAAAGTGCCACTCCTTGCGGCGCTCGGCCAGCTGCGATGCGCATGTGCCGAGGACGACCCGCCCCCCGGCCCACCTGCCCCGCCCATGCCTTGTCCCCTCCCCGGGCCCAGGTTCTCGGATTCAGGCTCCACCCGCTGTGCGGAGCTCTCTCTGCACCCTGCTCCTCAGGGTTCCTGAGATCCTCTTTCCCTCCATCTTGCTCCTTCCCACCTTCTCGGGGTCTGTTCCAGACTTCCAGATCCGGCTACTTTTACCGGGTTTTCCCGTTTCACGCTAGTTCCTTCAGGCGCTGCACCTAAGAGCTAACGCTGGAAGACACCCCCCCCCCCCCCGCCCCCAAGGGTCTTCTAAAGGACCTCTTCAGATTCCTGGGACAAGTCTGCAGGGCCCTGTTTGCCTGGCTTGCGTCCTCTCTGACACCTTGTGAACTTTTCCGGACTGAATATTAGTGACTGGAGCACGGGCTGCTATAGTGTTCCAGGTGGCAATGCTCAGAAATGCTCAGAAATGCCCAGGCATTTCTCCTTTGTTCAAAAACTTTCTACATTCGGAGACTTAAGTTGAAATCCTTTATCTTGTGTTTACTCCCTGCATTCCCTGCCACACCTGGTGCCACTCCCTTACCCTGCCCCATCTTGAAAGCCTGAAGGTGATATGTGGCTGGCTGCCCTGCCCCCTTGACCTGTGAAAATTCTATCGTGCTTTATTTTTATTTAAATTTATTGTTGTTGTTATTATACAGAGTCTTACAACGTAGTCCTGTCTGCCTTGGGACTCTTTGTGTAAACCAGGCTGGCCTCGAACTCGTAGCGATCTGCCTGCCAAGCTGGGATTATAGGCCTGTGCCATTTTGCCAGGCAATTTCATTCTTTTTGAGGCTCGGTAGCTGTGTAGCTCTGCTGACCTGGAATTTGCTTATATAGGCTATCCTCTACTCCAGATCCTCCTGCTTCGGCCTTGCTAGTGCTGGCGTTTCAGGTGTGGATAGACACGTCCTGATCTGTGGCTCTTTAAATTCTTGATTTTTCCAAATGGTTGAGGAAAGTCCATCTCAGCATTCTTTGCAGTTTTCTCTTCCTCGCCCCTGCGGGAAGTTTCCTTAGAGTTCTTCATTGTAAAAGCAAACCATACTCATTACAGAAACACCAGAAAATACCAAGAGGCAGAAAGAATGTCAGTTAAAATTTCACCTGACTTACACTGTTTTGGAGGCCAATTTGAGTTATAGGACACCTTGTCTCCAAAAACAAAACCCCAAACCAAGACAATTTTCCACATAGCAAAAAACAGCCTCTGTTAGCACAGCATAGCTCTTGTTTTGCTATTCATCAGTAGACTGGTTTCATTAATAGATCCACTTAAAACTTTTTTTTTTTTTTTCCAGTCTATTTTAGAAAGGTACTTCACTGGGAGCAGGAGTTGAAAGCAACAGATCCTACCCCATTTCTTCCCCGAAGCAGCTCAGATGTTGAGGGAGGGAGACAGACAGGAGACTTGAGCCAGGCATGGTCAACCTAGAAGTTTCAGAGAGCCCTGAGGACCCCAAAGTAAGAGTTCCAACCAGGGAAGCCTGGCAGAGCTGGGGCTTCCATGGTCTCAGGGAGAGGACTGGTGAGGACCTTGTCCTCTGTGAGTGGAGGCAGTGGGTGAACCCCAGGGGTTTCAGGTGGATCCCTGACTGCATGGGCAGGCTCCAAGCTGCATGAGCTTAAGGACTGTTGCTTGTATCTCCAGTCCCTGGTTGGACAGAAACTCTGGGTGTATTTGAAAAGGTGCAGTTAGGTAAGATGAGGGGGGGGGCAGTGATGGGGGAAGAAGGGCCAAGATCTGTTAGGAGGTGTGAACAGTTTAGGACCAATGAGAGCTAAAAGTCTGCTGAGGGGACCAGCAGAGAGTCTGAGCTGCAGCCAAAGCTTCAAAGCTGAATCTTCAAGGGCTTCCTTAATCCTTCTAAATTTTCTTAAGTCTTACCAAGTGTTAGTCTTGCTGAATGCAGTGACACAGAAGCCACCTCTATCCATGAATAGATAGGTGGTGCGAGAGACCCTAACAGGCAGTTCCATGGCTGTCCCCATGTCAATCTGAGATTCCCCCTAAGCAGAGGGAATGGCCAGAGCTGACTTTGCAAGCCAGGGGGACCAGCACTTAGGTGGAGCAAGGAATGCCACCCAGAAGGAATTGTGTGTGTGTGTGTGTGTGTGTGTGTGTAGGCACAGGAACACAAAAACATGTAGCTGTCTGTGCTGGGGAAGCTACTGGCTGTGGGAGAGCTGGGTGGAGGACAGAGTCGCATGCCAGGAGGAATGTCAACAGCGCTTTCCTTCAGGAACTCACTAAGGATGGCTCCATCAGGACGTGAGACGCTGTCAGGGCTGGGAACAGAAATAATGTCTCCTCCTACTGTTCCTGTGGGAGCTCATCCATGAGAACAGCTCCGAAGAAAAGGTTTTATCTCCTTGTACATCCTCCTGACAAGGGAGAGAGGGGTTCAGCAAACATTTCCATCCACAACAGAAACTGCTTTGGGTAGCGTTGAGGGAGGCAGACCCCCCCCCCCCGCCTCCTTTCTTGTTGTTGCTATTATCCATGGAAAGGAACAGCTTAAGACTCCATTACATACAATCAGAGATTCCTTTTTTAAAAAGTGTAGATTTTTTTCTTTGTTTGTCTGTTTTTTGCTTATTTGTTTTCAAAGAGTCTCAGTCTGGCCTTGAACTGGAAATCCTTCTGCCTGAGATGCTGGGCCCACACAGTGACAGGGCCTTACATGACAAGAGCGCCGGACCTGGAGGGAGGGAATTGGCATCTGGCCTCGGTTCCTACCCTGTGGTTTATCTGGATGGGTCACCTCCTGTCCTGGGACGCTGGTCTTCTATGGTGCAGCAATGTTCTGGGCCAGTGTGTGTTTGTTACAGGACCTTGGCGCTGCAGGCAACCAGGAAAAGGGAGGGATGGAAAAAAATGTGGTTTGCTTTAGCTGGAAGAGGAAAATGTGGGTAAGCCCTTGAGTCAGAGATCACGTGGCGGACACCAGGCCTTCCAGGCTTTCACGGAGTTGGGACCGGGAAAACTTTTTCTTCCTTCCCTGGGGGTGGTGGTGGTGGGGTGGAGTAGGGCAGGGAATCCGGTTTCTGGAAAACCCCCTGCTCAACTCAGGGGCCCGGGTTGGCCCTTGTGCTCCCCCTGGTGGTAAGATTTGAACGCATCCGGCCAAGCCGGCTTTAGCGTAGTCACTTGGTCTCAGATTTTGCTCATCCTGCCAACCCAGGCGTGGGCACCAGCTTCTGCGGCCCACAGGCAGGATCCTTCTCCCCATCAGGAGGCACCTGGCTTCTGTACCAGTGACCGTTTGGGTTTGTTGTTTTCAGCTACTTAAAGCGGTGGTTCTCAACCTTCCTAACGCTGTGACCCTTTAATACAGTTCCTCATGTTGTGGTGACCTCCAGCCATCAAGTTATTTTGTTGCTACTTCATAACTGTAATTTTGCAACTGTTATGAATCATAATATAAATATCTAATATTCAGGATATGTGATATGCAACTCTCAGAGGGGTCATGATTCATAGGTTGAGAGCCGCTGTTCTAAAGCCAGGTGTGTGAGCCTTCTGCAAACATTCTAGCCTTGCCTGGTATGACTCATCCACCATGGTCACCATGGTCCTGTGTTGGCACACTTGGTGGTGGTGAGTACCTTCAAAGGACGCTTGATTTGGAGGTAGAGGCCTGGAGAGGTGGCTCAGTTAAGAGCACGCTGTCTGCTCTCCGAGAGAATCTGTTTTCTCCCCCCCCCCCCCACCCACATGGCAGCTCACAACCATCTGTAACTCCAGTTCCAGGGGATCCAACACCCTCTTCTGGCCTCTGTGTGTACCAGACACACATGTGGTGCCCAGACATACACGCAAACACAACACCCATACACACACAAGATAAGGAATTTAAAAAAGAACACCTGCCTTGATTAATTTCTACCCCTTGCTGGCCTTCTGTGCACGTGGACCTCCGCACACATCTCTGACATAAGCTCGGGGGATACGGCTCACTCAGGCACTGGCCCTCCTTAGGTGTCTGCTCTTTTCTTGGCTATCATGTGGGTCACTCACATTCCCACCATTTCCTTTGTTTAACTCACACCTCTGTCAATTCAGATCGTCACATTTGTTCAGCGGCGGTCCAGACAACCTCCCATCTTAGTCCCTGAGACTTGTGGGTGTACCACCATGCCTGGCATAAGGGACTCTGCAGATGGGTTAAGTTAAAGGATCTTGAAATGAAGATTTTTTTTTTTTTTTCTGGTGGGACTTGGTAATCAAAAAAGATTTTTGTTGTTTGCTTTTTTTTGACAGATCTTCCTAAGTATCTCAGTTTGCTCTTGAATTCTAAATCCTCCTGCCTCCTCCTCTTGAGTACAAGAATTTCTTTCCTTTCCTTCCTTCTTTCCTTCCTTCCTTCCTTCCTTCCTTCCTTCCTTCCTTCCTTCCTGTCTGTCTTTCTTTCTTTTCTTTCTTGACAAGGTCTCTTTATGTAGTCCTGACTGTCCTAGAACTCACTATATAGACCAGACTGGCCTCCTACTCACAGAGACCCTTTTATCTCTGCTCCTGAAGGCTGGGATCAAAAGTGTGTATCACCACACCTGACCTAAGTGTGCCACCATCCCCAAGTTTGCAAAGGGGTCCCTTTTAAAAAATATTTCATTTTATTTTATGTGCATGAGTGATGACTGTTCTGGCATGTCTATGTTCTATGTACCACTTGCATGCCTGGTGCCCATGGAGGACAGAAGAGGGTGTTGGATTCCCTGGAACTGGTGTTACAGACAGTGGTAAGACTTCATGTGGGTGCTGGGAATTGAACCTGGGTCCTCTGGAACTTAGTTTAGAGCCAGTGCTCTTAACTGCTGAGCCATCTCTCCATTACCACACTGAGTTCTTATGAAAGAGAGAGAGTTTCTTAGCCAAATAATGAGATGTGAGGACAGGAACCCAGGTGTGGGTGATGTGTGGCCAAGTG